TTATTTTTTCTTTTCTGCACTCTATTCATTAGAAATTAGTGACTAAGTCCAGCCCATATTCAAACGCAGGTGAACTAAATGCAGAATATATCTTAAAGCAATGTTTTAAACATCTATTTTCTAGGGGCGATTGGGTGGCTCAGTTCCTACTGAGCCTGCTTTATTAAATCCCTGCTTTATTTATTTATTTATTTATTTATTTATTTATTTATTTTTAAGTTTATTTGAGAGAGAGTAAGAGAGCGAGCAGTGGAGAGGAAGAGAGAGGAAGAGAAAGAATCCCAAACAGGCTCTGTGCTATCTATGTAAAGCCTACTGCAGAGCTCGAATTCACAGACTGTGAGACTGTGACCTAAGCCAACACCAAAAGCCAGACACTTAACTGACTGAGCCACCCAGGCACCCACAGTTCTTGTTGTTAAGCCATTAACTCATGAAAATCTGTTATAACAGCCCTAGGAAATTAATATACTTTCAAATTATAAGTTCTTGTTTAATCCCTATGATCTAAAACTGCTTTTCAAACTTGGGAACTCACAAATTCTTAAGAATATTTCTATAAGCCCCTGAAGTCTAAGGACCCAATTTTGAGAAATGTTTCAAATTCGTGTCATCATTTGTTTTGAATTCATTTGGTATTACTTATATACCAGACATTGTGGTAGTCATAGAGAATATATCACAAACATGACTGGTACAATCTCTACTTTTTTCAAACTCATATATTCATGGGCAGAATGAGTAATATAATTGTAGATAGTCATAGACACTATAAATAAAGCATAAGCTGATGGGAGAGAATATAAACAGACAGCCAGACACTTCTACTTCAAATGAATGATCAAAAAACTCTTTGAGGAGATGACTCTCAAACAGGAAATGGGTAACATGAAGCAGCCACCCAAGCAAAGTGACAGAATAGCATTCTAGATGGAGCATGGTGGGAGATCACAAGAGGAAGGTATTTGGGATCAGATTCTGGAGAGCCTTGTGAGCACTGACAAAGAGTATAGACAGCAGTCCGGTATAAGGCACAATCATCAGTGGGCTTTAGACTGGAGAGTTGTATGAGGTGATGTCCTTTATAAAAAAATAAAATATCTCTGGCTGCTCCATGGAAAATTGATGTTAACTTCTCAATGAAAGTATAAAGAAGAAAGCAGGGAAATGAATTGGTTTCTCAATAGAGAGAAAAGAGTGAAAGTATAAAGAACTGGAAAAATCTTGGAGGTACAACCAACAGAACCTTTTGATGGGCTGGATGTAAAAACTGGGAAAAAGGGAAATAGGCCTTACCAATCTGGATGAGCGAGGTAGAAAAAGGGTAGGGAAGAACAGATTTGAGAGGAAGGAAATTAAGAGTTCTGCTTTAGACCTGTTAAGTTTGAAATATTATTAGACATTTAAGTAAAAATGACATGTTGACATTTGGATATATGAGTTGAAAGTTCATTGAAATGTAAGGACTACTGAGAGTCATTAGCATAGGAATGATGGTTAAAGACATGAGGCTGGATTAAATGAATTTAAGAGAAGACAGACAAGAATAGGGAAGGAGAAGGGAAGAGAGTAAAGAGGACAGGAGAGGGTGAGCCCTAGGGGATATTCACATTTAAATTCTTGCAGATGAGGAGACCCTTACTGTAAGAGGAAGCATGGAGAAAAGAAGAAAATGTTTCACTGTGGAGTGATTTTTCCACTCTACTGTATGCTGTTGGAAGTCTGTATGAGGTGAAGACCAGAGTGTTACTATGGTGAATATGAAGGTAATTGGTGATTTTCACAAAAGAATCATAGTAGAATTATGAGTATGAAAGTATGGAAAGACAACCAGAATATATTTAGAATAGAATGGGAAGGGATTAAATGAAGACCGGAAGTAGGCATTATCATTGGAGATTTTTCTTTTTTCTAGAATGGAAACAGGGACTAGGATATGTAGATGGGTATAAAGGGCCATGGGTGAGATTTTATAAGATAAGAGACAAAAATTCATATTTGTAGGGGCGCCTGGGTGCCTTAGTTGGTTAAACGTCCGACTTTCACTTAGGTCATGATCTCGCAGTTCGTGGGTTCGAGCCCCACGTCGGGCTCTGTGCTGACTGCCAGCTCGGAGCCTGGAGCCTGTTTCAGAGTCTGTGACTCCCTCTCTCTCTGACCCTCCCCTGCTCACGCTGTCTCTCTCTCTCCTAGAAATAAATAAAGCATTAAAAAATTAAAAAAAAATCCATATTTATATACAGATGGAAATGAATTAAATAAAAGGCAGAAAGTGACAAATGTTGAATCTGGAAAAAAGAGTCATTTGCAGTAAGGGAGTCCTTGGGGAGCAAGACAGGGTGATATACCAGGCACAGACAAAGGATTTAGCCCATGAGAGAAGCAGGGAAATTTCCTCGATTGTACCAAAAGGGAAGGAAAAAGTTGTAGGACAGAAACAAGTAGGCTACTAGCAATTGTGCTGGCATTTTACATAGTGATTAAATGAGCCAAAATATCTTTTTATTAAGTTTAGATAATTATATAAATGTAAAAGGTTATTATTTTTCCCTTTGACTGCTAGTGATTTCCTTTTTTTTTTTTTTTTTCCTTCCTAAGTTAACATACAGTGTAGTCTTAGCTTCAGGAGTAGAATCCAGTGATTCATCACTTACATGTAACACCCAGTGCTCTCCCAACAAAATTCCCTCCTCAGTACTCCACCACCCATTTAACCCACCTCCATCAACCCTCAGATTGTTCTCTGTGTTTATGAGTCTCATGTTTTGCCTCCCTCTGTGTTTTTATCTTATTTTTCCTTCCATTCCCCCCTGTTAATCTGTTAAGTTTCTAAAATTCCACATATGAGTGAAATCATATGATATCTGTCTTCCTCTGACTGATTTATTTTGCTTAACATAATACCCTCCAGTTCCATCCACATGTGGTGTGCAAATGGGAAGTTTTCATTCTTTTTCATCACTAAGTAGTAGTCTATTGTATATATTCACCACATCTTCTTAATCCATTCATCAGTAGAAGAACATTTGGGCTTTTTCCATAATTTGGTTATAGCACCAGCATTCTTCAGTTAGAGCATACAATCCTACACTTTGTAGGGAACCACAAAAGACTGCCAAAACCAAAGTAATGTTGAAAAAGAAAACCAAAGCTGGAGGCATCACAATCCTGGACTTTAACCTATATTACAAAGCTGTAATCATTAAGACAATATGGTACTAGCACAAAAACAGACACATAGATCAATAGAATAGAATAGAGAATCCAGAAATGGACTCACAAATTTATGGCCAACTAATCTTTGACACAGCAGGAAAGAGTATCCAATTTTAAAAAGACAGATGCTTCAGAAAATGGTGCTGGGAGAACTAGACAGCAACATGCAGAAGAATGAACCTGGACCACTTTCTTACACCATATTCAAAATGGATGAAAGACCTAAATGTGAGTCAGGAAACCCATCAAAATCTTACAGCAGCAAACAGGCAGCAGCAACTTTTATCTTGACCTTGGTCACAGCAACTTCTTACTTGACATGTCTCCAGAAATAAGGGAAATAAAAGCAAAAATGAACTATTAGGACGTCATCAAGATAAAAAGCTTCTACAGAGCAGAAGAAACAATCAACAAAACTAAAGGCAGCCAACGGAATACAAAAAGGTCTTTGCAAATGACATATCGAAAAAAGGGTTAGTATCCAAAATCTACAAAGAACTTTCCAAACTCAGCTCCCAAAAACCAAATAATCCAGTGAAGAAATGAGCAGAAGACATCAATAGTCACTTTAAGGTTAATTTTTAAAAACCTCTTTACAATCTGAACACCTGAGAATGTATCAGCACACTTAGTTTGATATATACTAGCCTACAAAGTGAAGCCCAAATTTTAATCTTAACTCCTTGAACACATGAGACCAATTTGCTAAATGCGTGTATATTTTATCATCTTTTTGGCTTTAGAAGGAAAGTCTGCCTCATTAAAAAGCTTTTGTCAGTGTTGTAATATTCTTTTTTTTTTTTAAAATATTTAAAATATTATATAAAAATAAGAGAGAGAGAAGACAGCGTGAGCAGGGGAGGGTCAGAGAGAGAGTGAGACAGAGAATCCGAAGCAGGCTCCAGGCTCTGAGCTAGATGTCAGCACAGAGCCCGATGCGGGGCTCGACCCCACAAACCGTGAGATCATGACCTGAGCTGAAGTCGGACGCTTAACCAACTGAGCCACCCAGGCGCCCTGGCATTGTAATATTCTTGAGCTAAAGTCTAAACTTTAACAGAGGTTACCTGGAGTATACACCTCTTAAACCTTGTTGTTGTTTTTTTTCTCACAAAACTTTTCTTTTAATGGGTCTCAAATTCTGGGACAGATTTTTGGTCAAGTTGTTTCCGTTAAAAGGTACTGGTTTTAAAAACTAATGACTTAAAACTGCCACACAGACGCACACAAACAAATGTTCCACTAAACATTCTCCTTCCCTTCTGACGGCTTTAGGATGCGGTGTTATCATTAAGCCGTCTTACACTCTTCAACTTACATGGCTCATTAACACAAACAGTTCTGAGACCGTCCTTCCACCAGTGATTAAGACTGGGGTGGCAGGTACTGAGGACAATATTCGCTTACTTTCTGAGCTTCCTGGGCAGACGCGGTGACCTTGCCAGTTCCAGCTGCCCTCCTATCTCCTGCTTTGACGCAGCCACGGCAACAGTCTGTCTCATGTCGTGAGCAGCAAAACAGCCCAGAGGAGGAGAGCCCAAAGGGACAATGGGAGTTAACAGTTTCATATTACAGATTTTTTTCCTCCATTTATACGAACTCTAGCAGATTGTTAGTAATTCGGCCTATTGTTTCATCATTCATAATTGTGAACTATCCTTTATTGGCCTAAAGAAGACGTTGTCTTCCCACACCTGCCTGAATGAACCTTTTGTTTACATGGAATGTCGTGTTAGGGTCACCGTTCTCTTCTCATTCTCAGCACAGTAACTCATTTCATCAAATGTAGAAAGGGTGCTGGGAAATTGAAGACATTTAAATAACATAATATAACGGAAAACATATTTTCCATTTTCTACACATAATGTGCTAATAATGTAATTCAGAAGAGAGAGCGCATATTTTTAGCTTACAAGGAGTCTGAACCAAAGTTCACTGAAGAGGTGAAATCCTCTATGACCAGAATGATAAAGATGTTAACCGTCCTTGATTAAGAACAAGGTAAAGAATCAGCCAAAGAGAAACTAGCATGATTAAAAGACAGAATATATACCATCCCAGGGGTTGACCGCAGCATAGCATTAATGAAAGGAAAGAGTATAAAATTAATTTGTAAATATAAATTCTGACCTGGTTAGGAGACAACCTAGCTTTGAAAGGTCAAAACTTGACAATGTAAATCTGAAATTAATAGATATCCACTTATATTTTTAAGACAGGACGTGGGAGGTGTAACATGATAAGACCCAAGGTTTTGAAAGATAGATGAGGGAGCTGTGTGTCTGGAGACAAAGTTGAAAGGCTGTGGGCAGTGATTGCTGTCAACCTTGCCCTGGAAGAGCACGTTAAACTAGACACGTGTCCGTGGCCAATGTCTACGCTGTTTCTATTGCGTTTCTTTCAAAATCAAACAATGTAAACAAATGAGAAAAGTCCCAAATAAAACAAGTTCAGAAATTTTATTGACTCCTTAAAATTCCACGGAATAGGGAAAGCAATGACCTTACGTTTTGCAGAAACTTTCCCAAAACCTTGCCAAAATAGAAAGTTCTGATTACTGGACAAGAGCCCAAAATTTGCTACTCATAAAAGGATCAGTATTTTATAGCTAGGCTAGGTTCTAAGAACATCAGCTAAATGGCTAATAGTGACCAAAACATTGTTTTGAATGCTTTTAACCCTATCTGACTTATTTCAATGGAAAAGATGACCATTTTATTTATTTACTTATTAATACATTAAGATACTTATCCAACTAAGTTTTTATTGTGTTGTTTGTCTTTTCTTCTAAATGGCTTTAATTATATCTCCATGTCTACATTTATCTGCCTAAAATGAACATGGTAATAAAGGACAGAGTAAGGCCTACTTAAGGGACATTATAAAGATGGTGACAGACTTACTAGAATGTAGGATGTAACACTGTACACAACTCTACCTAACTTTTCCCATTCAAGAGATTCTTCCTTCTCATTGTAAGAGTCTAAAGATTTAAGGTAAATACGGTCTTTTTCTCTTACTTTTTAAAGAAAGGGTATTGTTTGATTTCACACATGTAATTTAAAACTGATTAGAGGGAGTGCTTGGGTTGCTCAGTTAGGTTAAGCATCTGACTTTGGCTCACGTCATCATCTTGCCATTCCTGAGTTCAAGCCACATGTCATGCTCTGTGCTGACAGCTCAGAGCCTGGAGCCTGTTTCAGTGTTTCCCTCTCGTGCTGCCCCTCCCCCACTCACTCTCTGTCTCTGTCTCTGTCTCTTTTTCTCTCTCTCTCTCAAAAATAAATAAATATTTTTAAAAAATGTTTAAAAAGTGATGAGAGGGAAATAAAAATGGGTCTTATGCTGTATTATAGATGATTTAAAATAACTACATCTACATTTTCAATGCATCTGGTTAGAAATAAATACTTAAAAATAATAAAGTGTAATGTAAAGTAAGTTTACTTTAAAATTTTTACTAAATTGCATTCGTCTTTAATCATACATGATAATCCCAGTATAATCCAAGGCACTCATTGTTCATTGTTTTCTACACTCATAAGGAATGAAAGAAAATTTTCTACATTCGTAAGTAACTAGCTCAGTTTTTTAGGAAACCAGGAGAGAAAAGAAAGATAATTTAGCTATTAGGATTTCAGGAAAAATAGACTTTAGGGCAAAACACATTTTTAGGGTCACTACAGAAATGATTAGTGTGTAAATGCACCCAAAGATACGACCATTTTGATTGCACTTGTCTCTAATAAGCTAGTCTTGAATTTATAAATTAATAAATATATAGAACTTCTGAGAAGTTTAGGTAAATCTAATACAGAGGGAGAGTTCAACATCTATTAATCACTGAAGAGACAAATAGAAATTCCCCTCAAAATTAAAACATGATTTGAATAGTAAAACTAATATGTTTATTCTAAAGGAAATGCACAGATTTTTGTGCTCTCAAATTAAACACGTTCTTTGAGTGCATCTAAACACATTCACGAAATTTATCATTTCACTAAGCTATGAATAAGGTAACAGTAATTATCAAAGTGTAAATATCATATAGATTGTATTCTTTCCAGAAGATGCAATTCAGTTAAATATGTGAAAGAAGCAACAATAACACAAGATGAATAAATAAACCCCCAAGTATTTGAAAATTTAAAAAACTCATCTAAACATTTTATAGTGAAAGAATTTGACATAATGTAAATTTAAAAGAACTTAGAACTAAAAATAATCACACTGTACATCAAAATGCAGAAAAAATGTTTTGAAAGAAATGTATAGCCTTAAATCTTAAACTAGAAAAGAAAAAAGTTGAAAAAGAAAGAACTTACTTATTAAAGGAATACAGAATATATCCCAAATTATAAGGAACAGCGTGAGCAGACTGAAGAATTAGAAACACTTGCACACATTTACCATGTGTACTAAGGCAAGACTGTTCATAGCACTGTCTACAATAACAGTAGTGGCAAAAAGCACATTTGCTAATCAGTGGAAGATTATACACATACAGAAGATGCCTGGGTGGCTCAGTCAGTTAAACATCTGACTGCTGATGTCAGCTCAGGTCATGATGTCGTGGTTCATAAGATCAAGGCCCATGCAGGGCCTACTCTCTCTCTCTCACTCTCTCTCTCTCTCTCCAAAATAAATAAACTTAAAAAATAAAAAAGAGAGAATACACACATGTTATAGTCACATTGGAATATTAAACAATAGTAAAAATGAATGAAAACAATCTACAGGCAAGAAACTGTTTATCCTGACATTTAACCTGACACATAGGATGAGCTGGAGACAAGGGAAAAAAAAGTCCCGGAAGACAATTTGTAGTGTATACTACTATACAACTCTAAAATAAGCATTGAACTTTTAAATTATACTTTTTATTTTGAGATAATTGTAGATTCACTAACAATTGTAAGAAATAATACAGAGAAATCTTGTGTACTTTTTATGCTGTTACTCCCATTAGTAATATCTTGCAAAACTATAGTATATTACCACAACCAGGATTTTAACGTTGACTCAAACTTGGAAAATCTGAATAAGATACACCCATCATATTCAGATTTTCCAAGTTTACCTTGTGCTTATTTTCGGTGGGCATATTTAGTTCCATGCAATTCTATCATACATGCAGGTCTGTGAATCGATCGCTCAGTCATATAGAGTAATACTGTTTAAAGGGTCCCTCAGGCTGCCCTTATGTAACCAGCCTTCCCCAACCTCATCCCTAACCTCTGGTAACTACTGATCTGCTCTATATTTCTATAGTTTTGTTATTTCAAAGACCTTTTATAAATGAGATTTTACAGTATGTAACACTTGGGGATTGACTTTTTTCTCTCACTACAACTCTGTTGATTCACTCATGCCACCGCCTGGATCAGCCATTTTTCCATTTTACTGTTGCGTAGTACTGCGTGGTAGGATGCACCACAGCTTGTCCATCCACCGAAAGCCATCTTGTGGTTTTCAGTTTTCAGCTACTATGAAGCTGCCATCCTTCATATACAGGGGTTTGTTTGTTTGTTTGAATGAATGTAAGTTTCCATTTCTCTGTGATCAATGCTGAAGCGTTCTACAGCTGTGTTACATGTAATTACATATTTAATTTTATGAGAAGATATCTCACCATTTTCTAAAGCCAGTTTACAATTTCATACTCTCCCCAGCACTGGATGAGTGATTCAGTTTCTCTACATCCCCGTCAATATTTATTATTGTCATTATTTTTTGTTTTAGCAATACTGATAGTTGTGTAAAGAGATTCCATTGTGGTTTCAATTTGCATTTTCCTAACAGCTAATGATGCTGAAAACCTCTTCGCATGCCAGATAGTCTGTCCTATTTTTTTCTAAAAGTTTTATGATTGTGTATTTTACACTTCACGTCTATTACCCATTTTGACATCATTTTGCGTAAGGTGTGAGGTTTAAGTCGTGGTTCATTTTTGTTTGTTTGCTTATGGATGTACAAGTGCTTCTGCATCATTTGTTGAAAAAAGCCCAGGGGTAATGTCAAAGATTGGGTTCTCTGGTAAACAGAATCTGAGAAGATTTCTGTGTAAAAAGTGAAGGAAGAAGAGAGGTTGGACTGAGTAAAATACAGTCTCTTAAATAAAGGCCTCAGTAGGTCTCAGACTTGGATCAATGATGATAGTTTGTCATATATGAAAAATCAATACCAAAAGTGAAATATAACTTTAGTTAACGAACTTGTGATTGTTCCTTACAGACCAATGTTAGCTTCAGAAGCTGAAACATCGTTTGCCCAGATGAATTGCTCCTTCAATACACCTGGCCTGGGAGTACGTTTCCTATGCCTCGTGTTTTCTCTCACCTTAATACCACATGAAAAGGTTTTAAGCCATTCCAAAGATCTATACACATCTTTGCTATTTATTAACTTGCTGTTCTTATCCTTTGAGAAGCAACGAAGAAACATATAATGTAGTCAGGTATGTGGCTCTCAGAAATTAATCAAACAAAGCAATTAAACTTCAGTTTATTTTCTTGCTTTTTAAAAAGAGAAATCATGAGGCTCCTGGGTGGCTCAGTCAGTTAAGCGTCCGACTTCAGATCAGGTCGTCATCTCATGGTTTATGACTTCCAGCCCCATGTTGGGCTCTGTGCTGACAGCTCGGAGCCTGGAGCCTGCTTCAGATTCTGTGTGTGTGTCTCTCTCTGCCCCTCTCCAGCTTGCACTCTGTCTCTCTCTCTCTCTCAAAAATAAGTAAAAATATCTTTAAAAATTTAAAAAGAGAAATCATGGTTTAACATTCTTGTTTCTTAAACATGAAATCAGGAAAAATGTACGTGGGGAAATCATTGAAAATTTAAATAACTAAGACTCCTGCAGGCAATTTCCATTTCCAGTCTGATTCAGTGATTTCCATTTCCAGTCAGCTTCACTAGAGCGGAAGCCTGTGAACTGTCATGTATTTGCTAACAGCAATTCTCTCTGGGAAAGAAAATCATTTGTCCTCTCTGAAGGGTGACTCTTTAGGCAGAGGATGCTTTGAGTGTTTACTCTGTGGTGTTTGAATTTTCCTCTTAGCTTGAATTTCCCTTTACTCAAACACAAGTCTGTAGGACATTGGGTAAAAGGCAAGGGATGGTGAAGGGATAAAGGTTAGGTTTCTGCACAGGCACAATTTTGACACGGAACTCAAATTCACTCGTTTCTAATTCTACACCTAGACTTGTCTAGAAACCCATCCACTCTGTGCTCGGATCTCTGACTTTTCATTCTTTAAAGTCCTTTTATGATTTGCAGACATGCTGAGAGTGATTTGAATGTAAAAGAGGGTTCAGGGTTATTGTTTCTGCAGTTGCTTTGTTAGTCTCTGAAGCCAGCCGTCTCCCTGAACTTTGTAGCTCCAGTCAGGTTCTCCTCAAGCACACGCAGGATGCTGCTTGTCATTCTGCTACGTGACTCAGGATGACAACAGCCAGAATTGATTCACAACCTCCATCTTTGAAGTTACCCCAGTGCAAAAAAAAAAAAATATTACAGTTGACAGATTTACATAAATATTACATTTATAATAATATAGGCTATTATTATTTCCTCTTGGAGGAAATATTGATTTCTAAAGGCTGCTACCTATTTTTTATATAAAGTGGCTGGTCACAATTTTCTCCTGTGGTTTGGAGCTTAGAAGAGAAAATGAGATTTTTGAATAGAAAATCTGGCATTTCTCATTACATTCTCATTACACTACTCGGTAATAGGTAATAGGTGATTATTGTCATTGTACACATGAAGATAGGTTGTGAGATGCTAGACTATTTGAGGGATAAAAGAGACTGATAAGGTTGCTAGTCTGGAACTAATTTTCTGTCCCATTACACCTAAATTTTGCTAGTTTTTTTCTAAGTGACTCAGATTTTAAGGGGCATTCAAACAAACACAACCATCACAATTTGGTTGCATGGTAAATATTTAGAAAAGCTAGGTCAATCTATGTTACTCAAATTTATTTATGGCAATACTTCTCAAAATTTTTAATTGTATCCTACAATATGATATAACCCACCCACCCCCGAAAGATGTAGGATTTCCTTTTGTAACTTACAAATATTTCAAGGGAAATGTCAGTCCAAGATACAAAATTTTAGGTGTTGCCTCCAAAGCACATATACCTCTCAATGAAGTAGTCTTTGAAAAAAAACCTAGCTCATTTTCAAAAGCAGAGAGTCACAAAATCATTTTTTCCAGTAAGGTATAAAGAAACATTTACTTTGGAGTGACTACAAGTATGTGCTGAGGGTTGCATGTATTTCACTCTCAATATTTTCTTAAAACCACAGGAAGGGATTAGGTTTTATATATTCCTCATATCCTCACATCTTTAAAGGAAAACAAAGGCATCAGGGTATGCTACGATTTATTCTCAAGGGAATTTCTATTTGCATGTTACAAGCATTTTTGTTTTGGATATAGGATTCTTTAGAGTATATGTACCAAGAAGCCTAGAAAAGACTTCAGAATATGCCAAGGCCTTTGATAAAAGAAAGACAAATTGTCCCCCATGGTGCTTTCCACACCACCAGCCAAAATACATTTTAATTGGACTTTGCCAATTATACCTTGTTTCTTTTCACCCTCCACTCTTTCCACCCTCTACCACGTACCTACACACAAACACCCGCATATGCATATGCTCACAGGCAATTCTAATACACAAGTGTGTATTAGAAGTAAAATGTGGATTATGACAGTATGGGTAGAATGCTTTGAAATCTCTAGTCTTGAGCGTTTTAAAGGAAGCTGCTACATATTTTTTAAAAATTATTTTTATATACTTCATTCTACTTAATTAAATAATATTTATCAAACTTCTACTGTGTTTCAGGATTTATAGTAGACATAAGGAGGCCAAGCATGGAGAAGATATTTAATGTCCCGGTAGATATGGGGCTTAGAGTCAAGTATGGACCCTGGGCTGCAAAGTGAAGTATGACGTACATTAAGAAAGAAGAGGTTCTGCTTGGGATTCTGTGTCTCCCTCTCTTGTTGCACTTCCCCTGGTCACGCTCTGTCTCTCTCTCAAAAAGCAATACTAAAGATTAAACAAAGATTAAAAATTTTTTTTTAAAAAAGGAAAGAGGCTCAGCATACAAAGTCATTAGAATAAAGCGTGAGGAATTAAACTTGTCTAGTGATGAGGAAGGCTTCCTTAAAGAACTGAAACTTAACATGAAAGGTTAAATAAGAATAGGGTGAGGACGAAGGAGTGATAGGATCCCATACAAATACATCCCCTTGGGGGAAAAAAAAGAACCAATGAATCCTGTAAATAATGCTTGAAATCTGAAATAAAGTTGGAAGATATATAGCAGGACGATCAAAGAAAAAGTGACATGAGATAAGGCTGGAGCTATAAGAACTATAGTGTGCATAGTTTTGTAGGGCTTTTGGATATTTTAAGACAAAATTAACTACTTCATGACTTTAAGAATGGCAATGACAAGGTTAGATTTGTATTTTCACAAAAACTCTTCTGGTTTCTGGGTCCAGAATGAATGAATCAGAGAGGACGCGTATAGACATGGAGTGAAGATCAAAAACCTTTACAGTGGTAAGTAAGCCTTTGAACTTCATTGATGATAGCACAAGAAGGAATATTAATATTCCGAACATATTTCTGAGGTATGAAGAACAACTCGATGAATGATTAGACATGGACTATGAGGGAGAATGAAAAATCAAGGATTACTTCCAGATATCAGGTCTGACTAGCTGGGAGATAGTGGTCCCTTTTGTAGTGAAAAGGAACACTGGAAGAGAAATATGCCTTGTTGAGGTGATGAGTTTAGTTGGTTCATATGCTGACCTAAACATTAACCTAAGTTTAACCAGAGCTTACTTAACTAATGAGAAAGTGTAGTGGTGACTGGGGCTCCCTCACCTCTTCCCAGTGACACTACTCCCCAGCCCCTCATTCTACACAGATTGTTCCATTTAGGACTATAGGGGCCATTTCAATTTGATCTTTGAAGCACTATTAATTCTGAATTGGATTCTAGTATTGAGTGTGATGATGCACAGGCACACCACTGCTGGTCATCCATGAGTGCTGACATTCTCCCAAAAAGTATCACATAAAATCTGGTGCGCCTAAGCAAATACTTAAGAAAACTCATCACTCCTTAGGGAGCCTGGGTGGCTCAGTCGGTTAAGCATCCGACTTCAGCTCAGGTCATGATCACAGTTTGTGATTTCGAGCCCCACCTCAGGCTCTGTGCTGACAACTCCAAGCCTGGAGCCTGCTTCAGAATCTGTGTCTCCCTCTCTCTCTGCCCTCTCCTGCTCATGCTCTGACCCTCTCTCTCCTCTCAAAGATAAATAAGTGTTAAAAAAAAAAAAAAGTTGAAAACAAGAAAACTCATTACTCCATTCCTCTCAATCCAATATTACTTGACATACTGGCAAATTTGATATCCTAAGTCTAAAATAGTCAAACTGAGAATGTTTTTGTTTTTTCTTGCGCATTTTAGTTTTCTTCTTTTTTTAAAAATTGTTTTAATATTATTTTTTTTTCTGAAAACACCAGATAACTTGGCAGATGTACGTATAGATTTAATTTTTATTGAAGTTCTAATGTCACTGATCATAATAGTGATAAATATCTATAGACTGTTTCAAATAATTTGGGGTCCCTTATTTTCATTTAATATTCACATTGAAATGTAGTGAATATAATCAGATTTGCTAAATTTGTCCTTTTGGACCCTAATCTCATAATATGCCTTAAGATTAGATTTTAGTTCTTAATAGTTTAACCAACCTTTCCCTTTGGAAGTTAGGAAAGCAGTTACCTCTATGACAAGACTGGAATTAGTGTAAAATTCTTGGAATAGGAAATGGCAATCTCATCTCTGTAGGAGATATAGTTCCTTATGTCAACTTTAGAGCTTTCTTCCTTATGTCTAAAGTTTCTGTGGTTAACGAACAGTAGTTCTTTATACAAGGTCAGTGAAACTCTGATTTTAAAGTTGCAGAGACTCATAGTAAGAAACTTAAAAGGAGAGTAAATAAAATGAATGGAACAGAATTTCTAGAGATTGATTAGCTCTTATTTTTGGTCTTTTCATTTTAAGATATGTTTACTTTAACAAATAAAAGATGGCAGTAGAAACACTAAGGGAAATCTAACATTAGAGGAAAGGCTTTGGGAAAAAAGAAAAGAAAAAGAAAAAAATATGTTTTAAATAAATTCTATGGTTTTACTACCATACTATTATATTCTAGTCCATAAAGTATATGCCATGTTTGAAAAAAGTGTCAACCATTAGAGCATTTAATACACAATGTAAATTTGGCTTCACTCTGACCTGGAACAGACGGCACTCATGTGAAGCCAAATTTCAGATCCAAGTACAACTGGAAAATTAGGACTTCTTACAGCAAAGGCACATCATGAAGTCAGTTTAATTGCCTGTCATAGTTGCTGTTTTTGTAACCATGTCAACAAAACATAAACATTAGTAAATATAACTCTTTAGTGTGTTTAACCCATCAAGCTACCAAAATTGTATGGAAAATTACATGGAAAGGAAGTACTCTAGCAAAGGAAACCAGGGTGGAAGAAGAAGAATTTCAGAGAAAGCAGCTGTTTTCTGGCAGAGACTATTTGCTTAGCTTTCTCATTCAGAAAGACCTTTGAAGTTCTACCATGAATTGACTTCATCTGTATGGAGTATATAGAGCTTAACCTTGGATGGTAGAGTGCTTTCTAAATTTGTTGCTCATTGCAAAGTAAGTTTCATCAGAAAATCATTTCCTTGTATGTGTGTCTTGTAAATTCTCAAGGATAGACACTATTTGTTTACCAAACAGATCAATCAACATTAGTGGGATTTTGCAGAATAAAAGTAGAAACTTGAAAATTTATAATTGAGGCAATATTTATTAATTGTTTTAGTTAAAATTTTTTTAAATATCAAAAGTTGGTACACAAAGTTGTTTTCTAATGTAACCAAAGGCTTATATTAAAGAGTGTGGTCACTAACCATATGTCTTCCCATCACTCAGAACTTCTCCAGAGGCAAGAATTTTGTTTCTTGGTAATTATTTCCACATTTCTAACTACAATATGCTTACACTGTTATTAGTGATTAGCAATTTAGCATTTATCAATTGACTTCCGTTAAGCAAGATAGAGATAGATCTTCAACCAGTCTCTTCCCACCCTCTCAACATAATTATGTAACTAATGATTTATTGAATTAAACAGTTAATGTTTACATCATCACAACTATATGCTATTGTTAGCTATAGCACCAAGCACTGTGTTTTTAATTGTACAAACTTGTTCTCCTTAAATCAACAATTCCCTCTTTTTCTCTTGTCTTTATCTCCCTTTCTTCTCCCTTCCCCCATCCTTCTCTTTTTTCTTTCCTCTCTGTATGGAATCACCACCAATAATCACCAACAAATCCCTTCTCAAATTATCTGTTTACTAAGTCTCTTATTTTCCTGGAACTTGTTCTTTGTCCCTAAGCTAGAAACTACCCTGGGTATTTTAGAAATCTATCTAATTGCTAATCACCCCAAAGCTTTTTTCTCTTCACCATTCTTCTGGGTTAGATCCATCCATTCTTGGATCTTATATCTTTCTCTATCTTGCTTTACATTGCTACTTCTTTTAATCACCCATTAAAAAGGAGTACATAGGGACAATATTTGGGGGCCCTTACATATCTGAAATATGTCTCTGTGTATTGTATACACTTGAGTCAAAATATCTTGCTATACAACCATATTTTTTTCAGAATTGTTAAGGCAATTTTTTGATATGTGTCACCTACCCACTTTTAAAAGTAATTTTATCAAATATGAATGCATCTCTAAATAATATATTCTTAAGTTTTATCATTTTGAATTTTAAAAAGCAGAATCATAGGAATTATTTTGCAGCTAACTCTTTTCTCTCAGTTCTATTTTTAAGATTCATTCATATTGGTACATATAACTTAGAGTTTAAATTTTCTTTCCATTGAGGTATAATAAATCTAGTGTGTAAGTATTCCAAAATGTATTTATCCCTACTAGTATTAAAAAGTTAAATGGATTGGTTTTTGTCATCATAAACCATTATACTATTTCTACAATGTTATAATCGTGCCATTAAGATCTGTTGTTAGTGTTTCAAGAATATATAAAAGAATGGAATCCTGGAACCATATGATAAGCACATATTCACCATTACTAGGTAATGTGATACTATTTCCAAAGTGGTGGTAAAATGTAGACCCCCATGTGTAGTTCATGTTAATCCATGTCCTTGCTGATTTTGGTTTTGTCTGACTTTAAAATTGGTCCCAATCAGTTCTGCATGAAGTGATGATACCTTATTTTGGTTTTACTTTGTAGTTACCCAATTGTTCATGTAGTTTGGCATCTCTTCATGCTCCTACACATTTTGCACATCCTGTTCTGAGAAAAACATCCATGCCTTCTGTGAGTTTCATTATTAATTTTTCTATTTCTTATTTATAGTGAGTTCTTCATTTTGAGTAGGAAATGTTTTGTCAATTGAATGTATTGCAAATTTATTCCCCAAGGTGTAATTTGTCTTTTCACTCTCTTTATGCTGTTGTTTGATAAACAAAATTATTTAATGTAACTTAATTTTATTGCATGTAGTTAATACATTTAAATTAAATGTTTCCTTATTGTTCTCATTTATAATTTTTTTTCAAGAATTCCTTTCTTATCCAGAGGTTAAGAAGAGGATAAGTTATTTTCCAAAGGGCTTATTTTTTTTTGTTACAATTATATTTGTGATCCATTTAGATCTGACTTTCTTAATAATATGACATCATTTGGGTTACTTTAATAGAATGAATAATATTCATATTTTCTATTTCTTTTTCCATTTTTTATTTTAATTTTTAAAAACTTTTTAAATGTTTATTCTTGAGAGAGAGAGAGAGAGGCACAAGCAGGGGAGGGGCAGAGTGAGAGGGAGACACAGAATCTAAAGCAGGCTCCAGGCTCTGAGCTGTCAGCACAGCCCAACACGGGGCTCAAACCCATGAACTACGAGATTATGATCTGAGTCACAAGATCATGACCTGAGCTGAAGTTGGATGCTTAATCTACTGAGCCACCCAGGCACCCCCTACTTCTTTTTCAACCAACATTGTTTTTTATATGCATTTTTATTGTTGTAGCATTGTTGAACGTTTATTTTCTTTACTGTATAGCATTTTATTATGTGAATATACCAACATTTATTTATCCATGTACTCTTGGTGGATACTTTGGTAGTTTTCAGCTATTAGGTACAGTGCTTTTATTAGGATCCTAACATATGTCTATTTCTGAGTACTCTCATCCTGCAGGGTATATACAGTGGAGCAGAATTGTTGCATTATCAGAAATACACACGTTATACATGTAACAGCCAATTTTGCCATAGAGATAACAAAAATCACCTTCCTACTAACAATGTATAGTTTTGGTTCCTTACATGCTCACAAATACTTGGTATGTTCAGATCTCATCATTCTAACAATTTGGATAGAGGGGTAGTATTATCTCAGTGTGATTTAAATTTGCATATCCTGATAAATAACGGTGAACATCTTTTCATGTTTGTCAACATTTGGGTATCCTCTTATGAAATGTCTATGGCCCTTATTTATATTTTATAGTCTTTCTTTTTCATATTCATTTAAGTTTATTCAGTATTCTAAATCCAAATTCTTTGTTAGATCTATCTATTGTATTTTGCCCTCTGCTGTAGCCTTTCTTTTCACTTTCTTACTGGTGCATTTTGATTAACAGAAATTCTAAAATTAATAAAATTCAATCTACAATTTTTATAAGTACATTGTGTGTTCTTTTTAAGAAATCTTTATCATTCCCATATGATGATTTACCTTTTATTTTTAAGTTTTCAAATCACCTGGGGTTGATTTTTTTCATAAATGATGTGGGGTAGAGATGTAAATACTTTTATTATGTGAATAGTTAATTGACTGAGCACCATTTATTAAAAAGATCAAGCTATCATTTCTCTCACAGTATTTCAGTGTTGCTTTTGTATTTTCTGTTTCTTAACTGTTCTACTCCATTGCCAAGTTTTTCTACCTTGGTCCGATATCATACTGTTGTCATCTCTGGTACTGGTAAATCTTCCATGCTTATTCTTCAAAATTGGCTTTGTTATTCCTGGTTCTTTGGATTTCCATAAAAATTTTAGAACTATTCTCTCATTCTGTCTGCCACAGAAAACACTGAAATTTTTGCTAAAATTTAGATCAATATAGAGATTGATTTGATGGAGAATTGCCATATTTTCTTTCAATCGATGAATATGATAGATCTCTCCATTTATATACATTTAAAAATGTCATTTAATAATGTTTCATAGATTTGAGTGTAGCAGTCTTATGCATCTGGAGATATATTTATTCCCAGGTTATATGATATTTTTATGCTATGTAAATGACATTTTCATCTTTGTTTCCTTTTTTATTTTTGATGGTACCTATGAACACAGTTAGATATTGTATTTTGACTTTGTATATAAGACAAAAGTTAAATTTGTTTATTAATTCTATTAGTTAATTCTCATAGCCCCCCTTAGATTTTCTGGGTTCATAAATAAGATTGTCTTCAGATAATGACAATTTCTTTCTTTCTAATCTTTATGGCTCATTTCTTATACTTGTCTTATGGTACTAGGTAGCATCTCCAATACAATGATGAATAGAAATTGTGATAGTGGTAAATTGTGAATTGTCTTTTTATTTTTCTAAACTCAGGGTGAACATTTTCAATATTTCTCATTGAATAGAATGCTTTTGGTAGATATTAAGGAAGTTCCTTTCTAATCGAAGATTGATCTGACATTCCTTTCTTTTAAGATTCTTCACAAGTTTTAGAATTGAGCCAAATTAGTCCCTTAAAGTAGTTAGGGATGGTTCTCTCTTTTTCTTATATAGAGGAGATGTTTCCAAATTTGTCTATATTCACCCTTAAAAATGTGGAAGATATCACAGGCAAAACCATACAAGCCTGGGGTTTTCATTGTGGGAAGGTATAAAAATGGTTTGAATTAATTAAGTAGAAAGAATAATATTCATATTTTCTATTTATCATTCAACCAACATTGGTAAATTTTTTTGAAATTTACCAATTTCAAAAAATTTTTGAAAAAAAATTGTATTTTTTTGAAAAAAGTATCAATTTTATATAAATTAAATTTAATCACATAAAGTTGTTTGTAATATTTTCCTGTTATATTTTAGATACCTGTAGAATCTGCATTCTTGATATTGGTAACCTTTTGTTCTTGGCTTATCCTTTGATCAGTCTTACTTAGAGCTTGATCAGTCTTATTATCCTTTCCAGTATCATCTTTTGGTTCTGCTGACTTTCTTTTCTGAATATTTATTTTCTATTTTATTGATTTCTGTCATCACCTTTATCATTTCTTTGCTTTCCCATGTTTCAATTTTACTTTTGACATACAACATTATGTAAGTTTGAGGTAAACAATTTGATTTAATATTTCTGTATATTGCAAAATGATCACCACGTGTCTAGTTGACTTTGGTCACCATACATAATAACATTTTTGTGTATGATGAGGACATTTAAGATCTAGTCTTCTAGAAACTTTTAAATGTGCAATATAGTGTTATTGGCCACATATTACAACCCCACCAGTTATTTAGTAACGGGGAGTTTGTACATTTTGTTCTCGTTCACTCTTTTTGCCCACCCCCACCACTGCCATCTCTGGCAACCACCAATCTGTTCTCTGTATCCACAAACTTTTTTTTAATTGCAAGTATAAATGAGATTATATGGTAATTGTTTTTCTCTGATGACTTATTTCAAACAGCATAATGCCCTTAAGTTTCATCCATGTTCTTGCAAATTCTTTTTTTCTTTTACTAGTTTCTTGAGACAGAATTTTGAATTACTGATTTTTAATATTCCTCCTTTTAACATATTTATTTAAAGCTATGTATTTGTGACTGCAGAAGTCACACATTTTTCTAATTTCAGTAAGTTAGTGTTTTTCTATTATCTTATTTTTTATTATTTCTAATTAATTCCATTGTTATCATTCATTGATTAAGATTTTCTCTATGGCCCCAAGCATGGAGCATCCTATTGCATATATACTCGCAAATATGGTAACTTGTGTACGCACTTGAAAAAATATACGTGAATTGTGTTGCTGTTGTATGTAATATTCTTCATAAATCCGTTAAGCCAAGCTTTACAAATTTTTTGTTTATACCTTGTATATTCTTATGAACTTTTTTTCTATTTGTTCTATTAACAGTTGAGGGGGGGTATTGAAGTCTTTCTCTATGTTTGCTAATTTGTCTATTTCTCTTTTAGTTCTGTGAATTTTCTATGGTTTAGTTATATTTTGTATGAGTCAGACCTAAAATTGTGTTATCATCCAGTTCTACTAATCCTTTTTCATTATAACTCTCTTTATTTCACCCAAAGTCTATTTTGCCTAATATTTCTACAACTTCATCCGCTTTATTTTTGTTTGTATTTGCATTGTATGTTTTTATTACTTTTATATTCAACCTTTTTAAGTCTTTATAATTAAAAGTGGCTTTTTATGAATCATAGAGTTGGGTTTTGTTTTGTTTATTCTAATCTGACAATAATAAACTACTGCTAAGAGTAGTCAAGTCACATTAAATGTAATTACTGATACGTGTATTTATACTTATTGTTTCTCATTTAGTTAGTCTGTTTTATGTTACTTTTTCTCCTGTTTTTGCTTTATGTTTGATTAATCAAGTACTTTATAACTCACTTTCTATTCTATTACTATTTAATTTTTGTTCTTTTAGTGATTACCCTAAACACTATAACATGCATTCTTGCTCTGAGTGCTTGTAGTACGTCCTGCTATACTTTTAAAGGTCCCTAGTATCTGTTTTTCAATAAGAATATAGTATCAAAAGTAATTTCACATAAACTTGTTTTTTCCCTTGTGTTAGGGATATTTCATTAACACTTGATTTATTAAATGCAAACTTCACTTCTAAATTTCCTTTGAGTCAGATCCTGCCATAGTACCCAAATATCACATTTACAATTTCATATAATTTTTTTTCTTATACTTAGAGCCCATTATTAAAATGATAGATAGACTTCTGTTCTGTAATAGTGTTTTCTTATCCTCATTTAAATAACATCCTGTAGAACTACAAATATTCTATAAAGTTGATACTTTTTCTTATTTGTGTAAGAAAATTTAAGTTTTCCACTCTTATCCTGCCTGATTAGAAACAATGAAATACAATGCTGAGTCAGTCTTTGGGCTTCATATGAAGCCAAACAGAACCAATATTTCTTTCATAATTTTTATTTAATTCTCTAAACTCATATATTTCCAACTATAAACATTTCTCACCATAAAGTAGTCCTAATGACATAACACATTCCAAATTCACAGACAAAATAGC